GATTTGAAATTCAACGTCCATTTTCGATTGTTAAATAACGCCTCGATGCTCCTAATATTTCTTATAATTTGAGCGTGAAATTGCATAATTCGCCAAATTCTATACTTGCTGGAGCAGCTCTGCCAACTTGAAGAAGATTTGCGAAGTCGATTCCTATAAGTTCCATATGTTTACTAGCATGTTATCATGTTTTCAGTTACATTTAGACCAGAAAACAGCGTCCAGTTTAGACCAAACCGTAATAACAAGGTTTTACGAGTACCACTCGTCGCCATTACATTTGGTTTCTGCGTGGCGTTCGAGTCTTTGTAAGATAACGAGCAATAAACCTCTTCTTCAAAAATGATTGTTCAGCAAAAGGAGTAAAATTCTCGTAAATGCGAACTTCAATTCGTTCGCCTCCATCGACTACATAATTTTCCCTTTCTTGCCCGCTCTTGAAGTAGATCAACAAGGACCAATCAGGTGCCGTATGTGCGCGCGTTGTGATTGGTTGTCTAAAAATAGATTATCGGGACATCTGATGGTGGCGATATTATTGGGGAGATGGACACTTCTGGTTATGTACTTCTGACGAATTTGAATTATTCGTGTTTGCCTATAAAGGAAGGAGTTGTTTCCACGTATATCAGTCAKTTTGRGGACCACGAACGAATTGACATCAAGATGAAGTACAGTCTTCTTTTGCTGCTTGTTTTTGGCTTTGTTTGCTTCACCTTTGCTGCTCCTGCAGCTGAGGAGGAGAACGAAGACGAGCCTGATCAAAATTCCATCGAAGAAGATCCTGACAGTAAATAACATTTACTCTTAATACTATTCCTCAAAAAAAGTTATAATTAWTTTTTTTATTATATTAATTTACTTTTCTCAGTTTGCAGGGGAATCCGAAAACGATATGGCAAAAGTTGAAAACAACGAAGATGAAAATTCCCTGATTGGTAAGACTTTCATTATCAATTCGTATCTTGCATTGCGCATTCGAATCTTTTAAATTTCTTATGATATCATACGTTTGGGGGGATAACGCACYGCGGTTTGTCAAAGTATGCATAGGATTCCCGCAGTTATTCCGCTACAAGGGTCTGTCATATAACAGATCACTGCAGGGTTAGGTCACTGCATGATGTACGTAAAGCCAGGTCAAAAATATAGAATAGCTTAGAAACTTTTCAAAAACTAAAATTAAAATTTCAGAATTCGAACCCGTCGTGCATGACTCTTTATTCCATAAATCTACTTTACCTTCAACTTCAACTTGTGCGGCCATTGATCGTTAATTTTTTTTTGTATAAACATCATAGTCCTCGAAACTATTTAGTTATATTTTTAACGTTTTAACCAATAGTGATCAATTGCACTTTAACTGTTTGTAGTCTATATTGTTTGCTCCCAATAAAGAGACTTCTGCCATCTCCCTTGTGCCTTATTTCGATTTTCTTTGCAGACGAAACCGAAAATGAAATAGCCGTGCCAGAGAAAGATGAGGTTGAAAAACCACTGAGAGGTAAGCATTAATAATAAAGTATTCATTACCCACTATCATTTAGGATTACACCAGTCCTATAGATTTAAGAGCCACTTCGCGCAAAAATCAGACATATCTTGGCAAGGCTCGAAAAATTAAATCTATTCATATTTTGTATATWGATAAGGTATGATTAGGTAACAATCGCTGTGTAATTGGTTTTTGAAAATATTTCATTTTTTCGCAAGAAAATCGCTAAACAATGTCACATACTGGGCCTTTGCGTGACAAATGTTTGATGGCTAAAAATAGCACTCGAAATAGCCAAACTTTCTACCGAGCTTGTGTGAAATGTAAAATAGTAATTTCAAAAATTTAAATTGTGGCTTTCTAAGTAACTCTTTCTTATTTATTTCGTTGATTTTCAGAGCATTTAATTAAAAAGAAAATTTTCTAGAACTCTAAGTGTTTGCATATGTAGTTGTATATGCAAATTAGCACCTAGAAAAAAAGATTATTTTTTCTATGTGCAAGTATTTTGTTTGCAATGAAATTCGGCGTGATAACTAAGCAAGGCATGAGCTTTACAAANGCGATTTTCTTGCGAAAAATGAAATATTTTCAAAAACCAATTACACAGCGATTGTTACCTAATCATACCTTATCAATATACAAAATATGAATAGATTTGATTTTTCGAGCCTTGCCAAAAAATTTCAGTTTTGTCTGGTTTTTGCGCGAAGCGGCTCTTAAGATCTGTGCAATACCTATTGGAGCTCTAAGGTTAAGGGGGGTTGTTAAATTCAAGTAGAAGCATGGGGCTGCAAGTTACTAACCCTATCATTTCCAAGTCAAAATCCATAGAMTGAACAAGACTTTGTGCCTAAATAATCCAATCGCCATAAGATACGTTCAAATTTGTTCTTAATTCCACTGAGTAATCTAGAGCAATGCACAGACTTTAAAATATGATATCATTCCATTGCTGATAGTACGTACACAACATTAGCCCATAACTAGGTGTATATTGATTTAATAGATCCAATTATTTTGCGTGGTCATCTTCGATGCTACATACGCTGTTTCTGGACTAGATGCCGACGTTGTTTTCGATGCCACCCTCGTTTTCGTTGCTGCCGTTATGTAAGATGCAAGCATTGCATCCATCTTTGCCACCGCGGATAAAGGGCATGACTGATTTCACGGAAAGATGGAAAGAAAAAAAGACATCGAGACATGATAACATAAATTATAGCTTAAAMAATTCAARCGCTTGAGATAAAACAACCCAAGAATAAAGACCAGTCCATTATTACATTTTCGGGCTTGTTTGTCTTAGCAAACGTTACGAAAAAGTAATGATGTGGGCAGGGGTTAAAATGTTGATTTAGGGTAAAAGGTTTCCTTTATTTGTCATTAAGTAGTTTGTAAATCATTTAATWTAAAGGCTAGACACTGTTGTACTTAATAAGCTGTAGTAGTTAAATTTCAGAGAACATCTTTATGTATTTATGCTTTGAGGAGTAAGACCATTGATTTATTGCTACTTACCTGTTTCGTATGGTTTGACCGACGCCCATCATTCAGTTTTAAAATAAATTACCGTTAATTAGATATCGTTCCGAGGGTACTCAGCTATATTTTTTATACGACCTTATACGGGTATATACCGCCAAAAAGGGTATTGTTTTTAGTTTATGGTTCATGTTAGGGTACGTATGTAATTTGCTTACGAAAAGCTATGCAAAGCCATAAAAAAATAATTTGTTTCTTTCTATGAATACATCCTAATTCAGTTCCAACCTTTTTTCGCCACTGTAATTCAAGAAGATATTTTCCCCTGCCCCGCGGTCCCTGAAGATTTGAAAACAAATATTCACATTGTGTTTATCCACTACTCAAATTTTACCCGCGTACSTCATAGCCTGCATGCAGCCGAACCACAACTGTAGTTGTGTCAGTCTGCGAATCAGTGACGAAAATCGTGTTCCGTGTACCGGGATATATGTACTTAGCTGTTTTGTTTCTAACGAGAACRCTCATTGGTTACAGTCAACTCGCATGTCAAAGTACTTCGGATTTTCTTCGGACTTTTCGGATTTTCTCGCTGTGATCGACTGTGTTTTATGGAGCGATACCGTACCATTAGCAGAAATCAGGAACATTTTGCTCCATTGTTGTTTTTGGTCTGCGGTTTCAATATGTTGTACACAGTAAATTGATGTCAACTTCCACAATTTCACACATAAGCAAACACATCGATGGAGCTTTCTCTAAGACTTGAGCGAGTAGATTTAATATGCTTTAAATTCAATTTCTTCAGCTGACAATGAACCAAGAAATTTGCGAATATAAAAAACTACAAACAAGGGTCAAAGACGTATAAAGTTGAATCAAATACTTGGAAATCTTCGAGTTTTTGACAATAAAGAATCATAACAAATGTAAAAGTCTTTGAATTTTCCCAAGAAAAAAATTTAGTCTAGAATCTTGTATAAGTCAGTATCGTAACCCATGAACGTGCCGGGCTGTTTTATATTCATGGAAAATGGATAAGTATAAAGATTATAGTATAAACGAAGTGCTTTTTTTTTTTGATTATACGACTTCAACAGCTCAGATCATGGCCCGGCCGCGCAGTCGGCCGTAACCAGGAATTTATGCTTAATAATAACACATAACTTTGCAGGCTTACAAATAGCAGAAAATTTGTCGATCTGATTTATTTATACGTGTCATTATTTGAGGTATTTCACCTTGTTAACTGTTCTCGACTTTTCTTCGTGATATGGCAAAATGTCAAATATTTGTGTATGTTGTTCAAATGATTATAAGATCACATTTTCCAATTCATCAGGGTTATTATGATTTTAAGTATGGTAAAGTCTCGAACTGTTTCTTAAGAATATTAGAGACTCTCGAAAGTACTCCGATYATAATTAAAGACTCAGTTTCGTACACATGAAGTTAACTTTTTAATGACTTTCATATCTACAAAATGCCTTCCAACTAACTGACCAGCTAATCGATGACGTCTAGGAACACGCGAAACGATAAATTCACATCAAATCGACAACAAATTAATTTGKACAAAGATAATACTAGCTATGTTTTGGAGGGGATTTGTAGATATCAACTAATCAAGAATATAAGATTTGACAAACAAAAGCCCCGAAAGTTTGACGGATCGAGACTACATTTTTCTCTAGTAGATCGACCCGAGCCAACAATGATAGGCGTCAACATAATGGAGGAAATAATGAGATTCATGATGAAATGAAATGAAATGTGCAATATCTAATAMTATTGCAATAAGTTTATTAAACAATAGAAATTTACAATTGATCATCAATCCAATTAAAAATGAACATGAAAAACAAATTTTGCAAACTATCAGAATTGACTGTTACACGTTTTGAAGTGTATTTACAAAGCTTTCAGTATTGTATGGTTTCGATCCCGTTAAGTTACGGACCCTGCCGTTTCAAGTTCCTTGTCCTACGAATGCAATTAAATGTGTATATTGACACCGAGTTATTCTTGTTTTACTGACTATAAAGAGATGTGGTMAAGGCTGTTAATCAGTCAGTTATCTGCGCTGACTGAAGACGGAATTGCCATCAAGATGAAGTGCAGTCTACCTTTGCTCCTTGTTTTTTTCTTTGTTGCCTGTGCACTTGCTGATTCTACAGTAGAGGACGAGAACGAGCATCACCCTGATCCAAAGGTTATCCAAGAAGATCCTTGTATGTATCATTTATTAGATAGACCTTCAATTGGTAGAATTACATTTGACGGATATTATGATATATATATGATATTATGTTAAGCTCCAATCAGGGAAAACTTGTCATGTGTATTCGTAAGAGTCAAACGAATTTGAAAAGTTATACATTGCGAGATTACATTGAAACAGCACAGAGAATTACCCTATTTCATTATATTCACAACAKTTTTACATCATCTTCAAAAACAGTGAAAATTTGGACAAATTTATATTCTCTTCGAAAATAAAACTTCAATGTATCATGTTTTCATGACATATGCCAYGCAGAAAAGATTGCTCATCTACATTTTATTTGATATACCCTGATCCCATCTGGCGACCACATTCCCTAGCGTCAAAACAATATAATGTTCTGATGTACGCCGTCATAATGAAATAGGGCAATTAAGTTTGAAGTTTGCAACGACTCACGTATTATATGGCATGATATTCGAAAAAGACATCCTCGTTTCCCTCGCGTTTTCTTCCAAAGTCCATCGAAATATTAAGGAAGAATCATTTCGAAAATGGCTTTCAAAGTTCATACCTGCAGGTACTTACGGAACTATTCTGGAATGCTGCTGGTGTATTTTYTCAGTGCATTGCTGTGATAATAGTGCCTACAGTATCCTATACCTTCTCATGGGTTTTATTTTTCATGTATTTGCATGTATGTTTACTAGCTTAATCATCTTTATTTAGTGCCTCAATGTCTTAACTTGATTGCCTTTTATTAGCAGATGAACTCCGCGGAAATGATGAGTTTAAAGAGGAAGTAGACGAAGACCAAAATGCCCTAAGTGGTAGGTAAAACATAACAAGTTGTTAAGTTTTAAATCTCATTTTTTAAGTCCCAGATTCACCCAAAATGCTCTGCGATCTTTTGGTTTGAAACATTTTGACTGGAGAACTGTTGATTTTGGCGATTTACGCACGTAAGCTTTGCTTCTTACTTCTGGTTGAAATCCTGAAATTTTTCAATCTACTAGCCTCAAATGGTAGTAGTCAAAATCATTTCATGACAAGAAGTAATCACGAGGCGMACAAAGCATACAGGGTGATAGCTGGAACTTTAATACATCGCATGGTACTGGAGATGCAAGGASCTTTCTATTTATTTATGATTTTTCTTACCCTTGAAGATGTGAAGGAAAATGACATTGCCAATCGTGAGAATGATAAAGCTGAGAAAACAACGAGGGGTAATTATTAGTTATTTATGAATTTCTCATTGGCTGATTTCGTTTACTACGATTTCCTTTTTTGATAAGATCTGAACTAGATCCGTATCAATTTGAAATGATTAGTTCAATTTATTGTATTATACAATTATTATACAATCAGCGTTAGTTTGATTAAATAATATCTATTGAAGTTAGAAGTCGAACAATTATGTGTTTGTAAGAGTATGTTTGAAGATCTCTTTAGTGAATAACTTCTGCTGAAAGACCACAAACACGGTTCTTTTTCCAGCGACGAGATGTTCACCATTTTTTTTTGTATTGATTTGCAACCAGGCATGCTTTACAGTCTAAATAACAACATTACATTACTTTACTGTACCTGATATAGGCTGGCACAGCGGACGTCGTCGCCGCCGACGCCGTCGTAAATGCACCCGTCATTGCGATAATTACAAGATCTGCTATCGTAAGAAATGCCGACGTTGCTATTTAGGGATGTGTAACTGGTATCCTTGTCTCCCGTATCGCCTAAGGTGCAGTTATCGTCGTCGATGCACATGCATTGGATAGGAGTATGRATTTCCTGGTCAAGAAAAAGCCTGGAGCGAGAACATAAAGGACGGTTTAAACAGCGCAACCTTTTCCCTTACAAMCACTGCATGCAACATTTTCATTAGTACGAGAATCAATACTAGGGTCAAAAATCGAACAAAAAGGAGAACAAAGAATTTAAACTATTTACTGCTTTTCAGATTTTATCAATTTGCTTTGACGAAGATACGGAGATGAGTATTACATGATACATTGTGATTCAATTTAAAATGACCGGCTTGTCATRTGAACTATGCTAAAGTCAAAAGTCATCCCTACAGCATGGCTACTTGTCTTAGTGCTATTAAACAATTATTTTGAATTTCTACGAAAGTTGTAATCATAGTTTTAAGATGTCTAGGGCTGCTTGCATGCCATGTTTGTACGCAAAAGTTGTGCCGTCTAAATCTAAATTGTACCATGCGATTTATTAAATAAACTTGAACATTTGAGAGCCAAAACTGGCTGATTTGAAAACTAAGGTMTGTTCCCATTGGTTAGTTGTTTTTGCGTTTTTGCACTGCTTTCATTCTTCAACAAAATAGTCTTCTTCACGGTTTAGTTTCCTGCGCCAACTTGAAAAGTAGCCGTGCCTTTGCAACAAACCTAGACGGCCGTTGAGTGTGTTAGAGACCCTCCTCTGCTTCTTTGACATTCTTTAACACCTACAGAACGTTATTTACAGGTTTTTATCACTACACKATCAATGTTCGTCTCGGCTGTATGCAAAGACGCGGTTACCTCTAAATATGGCGATTGAAACCGCAAATAAGATGACTTTTTATTAAAAAAAAAAAAGATGACTGAGGACAATGAAAAAAGTCACGCCACGTATGGACAGGTACCACCCAAAGTCAAAATTATGTATTATCCTTACAACTTAAAATAAGAGCCTAATWAAATTCCCCTTTTCAGTGTTCTTTGATTTGTAGCTTATATTTACATTCTAAGGTATACCAAAGTTAATTTTGGTGGCTACAAATACATTTTCTATTCTTTAACTAAGTGCATGAGAAAAGCCATTGGGCTCATATGCATTAGATTTTCGTATTCTCGTGTATCTGAAATTCTGAAATGTAATTCCGGTATTCACATTGCAAGATTGAATAATTTGAGGTATTAGGGTCTAGTGCGTATTTGACAATACTAATCAATACATTCAAGCACTCTTCTTTATTTGTTTTTGTTTGTKTTTTGCGTCCTATATGCTTGAATTAAAAATGCCCGATTTTTTTGGCTTATGACTCGAAGAGGTTCAAGTCACTATACTATCCCCTTTGAAAGTGGTGGGTGAATTTCGTAATATCATCGTATACCGCCGTTGACGTCCGATCGCTTTTCGTCATTTTCCCGTTTTCTTCGTGTATTACCTTATTATTCTGGCTTCCTGTGTAATGACGTCATAAGCAAACCCTCCYATCTCCCCAGCAGCTTAGTCATCAATGTCCTAGACCACCCTCTCTTCGTAATATTTTTCTTGATAAATGTGTTTTCTGTGTAATTGAGCCATTTTCTATACTTCTATCCCCTACCTTGTACAATATATAAAGTCCTCTCTCTCTCTCTCTCTCTCTGTATTGTGCGCTTGATATATTAAGTGCTACTACCAACAATGCGCGCTACAAATAAAGTAACGATTATTTCGACAGGTATACATTTAACTGCGAAGTATTGCTTTGATGTTCTTATTCTGTACAATAAATAAAAAAGCTAGTATTCTAGTATATGTTTTTGTTAAGGTTAATTTTTACGTTCTAATGTTCCATTTCTGGTATTTATGGACTAAAGAATTATTATTCAACTTTCGTGACAGCTCTGCATCAGTGGCGACTCTGAATCGAAATTTGGCGGAGGTCCTTACAAAMAAAATTGTCACACTATGACGTACAATAAGCCCAAGGTCACCTTGATTGCATCGAAACGCAACCCACTCCCACGCCCCCATCATACTTCGGGTCATTGAGTATAAAGTATCMTTCAGCTGGAAGTCCTTGTCGATATAATTAAGCTTTACATGTGTATTAAAGATTTAAAATCTTTATTTGCAAAGTAGAARATAGATTTGTTGGTTCAACAGCTGATAGCGAGRTGTGAAATGAGTTCAGTTAAATGAAAACCAAAAGTATAAGGCCAATACCGTTGAAGGCCGAATTTTTTGGGGAGTCGACATATAATATTTTTCAATAATCGCTCACATCGTTCTTTTTSACTTCGAAAATTCACTGATAAACTGTTTCACCGCAGCTCGGACCATAATTTCATGAGAGCATCATGGCTAAACATGTGTAAAACTTTCGTGTATCGTCCATGTTTTTTAACTAGCATAGCTGGACAGAGAACAACTTGGATTCCAAAAGTTACAAAACARTGTCTTGAAAACAAAGAGATTAGCATTTAGAGTAAATTAAAGGCAGGAAAAAAGATGAATTGAAAATGGCCCCATGTAGATACATCTTCATTATGTTCTGGTTCATTGATACTRACAAATAGTCTCTAAATACATGTTAGTATTTAGTTTGATTTTATTTCATGGTTTTCCTGGGTTTGATCYAATAATAGACGTAGGAACGTAATGTGCTCTTATCTAACTGTGTAACTGTAGGATATATGCATACGATTATAACAGAGTATTTAAGCTAGTAAAGCTTAGTAATTTGTGATGAAAAAATAACTTAAAAAATTAAAATTTATACTAATAAATTAATGAGTATTCTATATATTGTAGCAGCTAGATAACAAACACTGAAAAACAAACTATACTGGCACAACATGAATACCACTAAATATTACTAGATTATGCTAATTCTATTGTTTTCTGTATATTGTTGAGATTATCACTGTGTGTCAGAAAATAGTACAAAGTGGTGTGCCCATTTATTGTTGGCACTCTAWATGTTTGCAAATTTTATCTTCTTGTGTTGAACATCTCTCACTCGTTCGATTTGCTAAGCTCACTCGTGTGAGACATATCTCTTCAACTCGAGAAGAATTAAACAAAAAACAAAAAACGCGCAGTCTCTTTTGCTGGACATGATTCAAAATTTTTGATTAGAAAAACTGACTGATGCAGTTTAAACTATTCATACTACTCCACAAGCTACCTCGTGTACTTAGCATAAGCAATTTACCATTAAAAATTGTTATTTCTTATTACGTGGCACTAAGTTTGTTATGATTTATCTGTGTTGTTCATTCATGTGTAATTGAATACAAATGGCTTTTAATAGGTATATAGAACCAGGGTGAGTGAAGTCATTCGTCTTCTTCTTCTTCTTCTTCTTCTTCTTCTTCTTTTTTTGGCTTCTCCGATCCTTATAGCATAGTTACCAACTATTGGCATTCATGAAAGGGGTCTTAAAGCATCGTAGTTAACCAATAAAAAGGTTGATTTTTAACAATTTAGTTAACCCTTTCACTGATCATGCTGATAGCCAGTGATGTGAGAAATTGAAACTATTTAAACAATTCAGTTGAGATGAGTGAATGGATGTAAAAAAAATTAAGTCTCTAATCATTTTTGTCAGATAGACAATACTTGCAATTTATCATATCTAACTTTGCAAATTTAGGAAATTTTGTACATGTTTTATGTAGAATAACAACTTATAAACATTTGGGTGTCGTTACACTTCAGAACKTTTAAAAACATCAACAACTTTAGACATTAGTCGCTGCTTAGTTGTAGGTTTAATGTTTGACTAGTTTACTCGGCATCTAGAGAATTGTTCACGACTTTGCTCAGATTTGTGAACATACGGAATACGTTTAAAAGCATGTTTCTATGATTTTTTTCCAAATAATCAATAAAATTGTCCTTTTTATACGAGCCATTGACCAAATTAATTCTTGAATTATTAATGTTCAGTTCTGGAACAATCCAAAGTTTCTTTTGAAGCAAACAAAMACAATAAATGGAATTTAACAATAATATATTCATAAAGTGACGGGGTTTCTGTCATCATTGACTTTTTGATCAGCAAGCCGTAAAAACTAAAGTGTTCTTTCATAAGGACCAGTTGYCTGTCTACCGWCTGGCATCAACATGAAGCTCAGTATAATTTTGCTGCTTGTKTTTGGCTTTCTTKCCTTCACCTTTGCTGCTGCTGCAGCTGAGGAGGAGAACCAAGACGAGGTCAATCCAAAAGAGGCCACCAGAGAAGATCCTGGTACGTAACCTATATATTTATTTGCAAAACTGATCACAAAAACTTCGGCCCCATTCTGTAGATACACGTACCCTACCTCATGCAAACTGCCATTCCCTTACGCCAGCCACAGAACTGACATGACCAAACCTCTAGATCTAACAAGCTGATGCCAATAATAATGTTTTGCCTGTTTGCAATTTCTTCGTATTTCATGTTTTTATCTTCATGAGGAATTTAAATTCAGATCTGAGTAAGATTATTCGTTATAAAGGATGGGCTCAATGGATACGTCTTTTCAGTTATTTCTAGAATTGTGCTTCTTTTGTTGAAAAAAGCGTTTTTTTTTCTTCAATTGACATTGAAAGGGAAAGCCTTAACTTGAAGGATTATAACTACAAAACAAAATTTACTTCCACACACTTTTGTACATGATAATGTATTGATGGATTTTATTAAAAAAAAAACAATTTATAATAAGAATATAAAGTTTTGTCCAGGCACTTCTACTTCTAAAGCACACTAAATTCCGTAAGTTTTTTTCCTTTGGTCTTTATTTTCGCTACCTAGTTTAATAGTTAACCCATTTCGAGGGCATTATTCTTATCAATTTTACTGATATAAGGAGAACTCCGCTGTCGGATAAGATTCTCAGTAACCTCTAATCAAATATCCTTCACAGACGAGCCCGAAAATGAGCTATCCAAAGCAGAGTTTGATGAAGATGATGATTCTCCAAGTGGTAAGTTCCATTTTAACATTAGTATATTTGCCGTKTTTCCAGAAATCGAGAAAGGAATTGAATCACAGGATGAAACTTCCAGAAWAGTCSTTTTGAGTGCTCTACTAACAATTCCTAGTCGGGATTGTATATAATACTAGAACCAAATAAAAACATTACTTAATGCTTTTATTTTATAAAATAACAAAAACCGTTTTCGATTGAAAGCCGTTGTTCTATGCTTTTCATGATAAATACGCGATATTTTGAGCGTTTCAAGAAATCAATGCCTTTGATCAAGTACTTATTTTATAAATTGAATTCTTACTTTGTAAGCGTGACACCATAATCGTGAAGCCTTCACGATTATGGTGTATCTAAGACTCGGGGGTCCTTACATGACAAACAATCAATATGCCCACTCATGACGTCAATGTGACATCAAATGAAAACTTTTGGCAACGCACTCACGCACAGGCAACC